TACGTCGAATGGTATTCGGGAGAAATAACTCACCCTCGATAGATGAACTGATCACACTGCATAGTTTGCGCTGGCTTGGCCACGTGTTGCGTATGCCAGTCGACCGACTTCCTCGAAGGGCTCTTCGCCCAACCACGTGAAGGGTGGAAGAGAACCAGAGGCGGCCAAACAATGACTTGGCAGTGAAGTATGAAAGCAATTACCAGCAAACTCAGCTGCGCTGGTCATTGCCGTCTTCCTGGATGGGGACCCCGAGACGGGCCACATCAATGGCCCGAGACATTGTCAGGTATGGCCCAGTCGCGCCATCAATGGCGCTCGTGCATCCAAGCTATTGCCTTCAATGCATAGCTCCTTTTCCCCCCCCCCCCGCTTGACAACCCACTGACAGTGCTAGATTTACGCACCAATTTACCAGCTCGTGCGAGCAATGCGCAGGTACCTACCCCCCCAATCATCGGTGAACGAAACTGTGGCAGCTACGACCAGTGTACGGTACGCACGCGGTTCTTACAGCTGACAATGATGATGATGATGATGCCAGGCGGCTTCTGTCAACCCCCGAAACATAACGCCGAAGTGACTCTAGTTTGTTAAGCGCAGAGTACAGGCTATGCGGGTGTGGTCCGTACTGTTTTATGGTTTGAGAACGTATATCTACGTTCACAGAATATACAAGAGCTGTCATTGTTTGACCATGGATGTCTGGAAGCATTGGGTGGGTCAGATGGGAACGTGAGATTAGCAACATAGATGTTCGTCAGATGATTTTTGGAGGAAACGAACTCCTGTGATGGATGAGCTACTTACGCCCCATGGGCTACGCTGGTTAGGACATGTTCTTCGCATGTCGGAGGACCGTGCGCTTCGTAGGGCTGAATGCCGAACGGGAGTGGCCGCGAGGTGCGCAGTCTATGAAGTGTGGAAGCGTTAAGCGTTCAACCGTAGCACCCTTCCGGTGCCTAGCTGCCATGCCGCCCGAAGGAAGCACGAGGGCTGGGATACTGCCAGGTTGCCCAAGCCTAGACAGGGAAGTCGAGTGGCGGATGTCGGATTCGAACCACGAACCTTCCGGTCAGTAAATTCGCGCTCTAACCAGTTGGGCCATCTCGCCCAGTATACTCAGTCGGACTGACAGCTGTCGCCTCCGTGGTTTGAATTCTGAGGCTCAACTCCTCAGTATTTGATGACACTGGTAGGCTTCACCCTATCATGCATTCAACAGCCCTCGTGAGTTAAGCTATCACTTTCACTACCTATCTGCACAGTTCCTCTTCAGATTAATATGCAATGCGTTCTTTTAGAGGAACGGGCGTCACTGTCTTCACTTCTTTCCTGATCGCATTTCAACCGCAGAGTGCAGAATGATCTTACTCTTCTAACTATCTCACAGGGAGCCTTATCGTAGTAGAGGGTTCGCTCACATTTCCAACTCCCATTGTTTGGCATTTCTGAGATATATGAACCGTGAAAAAGAATATCCTGTCCAAAAAACCTTGAAGATTGTGTTATGGTCTATCATAACTAGACCTTCGCTAATCTGATATAAGCGAAATTACCGTGAGATTTTTCGGATTGCATTCTGGCTGTTCTGCCTATCTCCAATGTATTTGCTTTGTTGGGAGGAAAGATTATTCCGGATAATAATTTTGTCTTAGGTCGTCTGGTTTGGCGTCATGTTTTCAGCTCTTATAATGAGTTCCTTCTGTTTCCTTCACAGTTTTTTGGCAGAGGAACTTGATGCCAGTTGCACCATTATCAACCGAAATTAATCTTACCTGAATGCTTCTAAGGACGATAGGGAGGATTTTCAAGGAAGACATTGTTTCTTCCCTGACAGGAGGTTTCTATATTGATTCAGCGCAATCACACTTTGTTAACTTGGTGCATATTTATACATGGATAATATTTTTCGTGTCACCTCTAATTACCTACTTGGTAAGTGGCATCCGTTGTTAGCCAACCTGCTTTCAGGTATCATCCGGTTTGGTTGGTGCACTAGTGTACAGTTTGTTCACAACGTGTTTGGTATCGTTCATTAAACTTCTCATTTGGAAACTTCACCGGTTACTGGATACCAAGGAACCTATTGCCTTGGCATCTACACCAGCTCTGGAGTCTTTCAGCGCAAAGAGGTGAGCCTTTTTCCATACAGTCTAACGGTCGTAACAAAAGCACTCCTAATCCAGATTCACGACGTCCAACTTTCCCTAGCACGTCCGATTCGTTAAGTGACCACGACCGAGAAGCTTTTGATCAGGAGCTCGAAGACCGATGTCGGCGTGTCGGACAAGCCGGTCTGGATATGGCAGGTGAGCGACTAGCTCTTTGTTGTGAGCGCGTGATAAGTTACTGTTAGCTAGTGTTCCTAAACTCAAGCTTTCAGAGTCGGTATTAATACAGTTTTTTTCGCTCGACCTTCATATTCATCCACACAGCTTTTCACTTAGAAACGTGCTGTCAGTCTCCCGAAGGATTCGTGCGAGAACAACTGACGCAAAAGACACTGTTTTATTCTTGAAACGGCAAAGCGAAATCCGATTTTCTCTAGTTGATTCCGAGTTAGGTAGTTTTCCATTCCTTTGTTCTGCGTTCAGAAGATTTTGTTGTGTGATGGGTTTGCTGTCTGCCAGTTTTGAGTATACGCTGTCAGTTGATGTACGGAATCTGTGTTGAAGGAAGCTACACAGTGACTGTGTGGGATTTGCATCTAATGGACGAAGCATAATGCGTAACACCTTGAAAATTGATGGCTGTGAAATCTTACGTAACCGCCATGACCAGAAATACGAATCAGCCGATCGTTTAGTGATAGTGTTTTTTAGTGGGAATTCCTACTCCAAGGGCGCCGGTAAATCTGAATTCAGTGAGTGATGTTCGATCGCCAAGTTTTTGATAGAGTAAACAATACGTCTTGAGAGTGACTTTGTTAGAGACTTATCTTGTGTTAACTGTCGTGAGTTCAGAGTAAGAATTACAAAAATGGAAAGGAATACCGTAGTGCTAGAAAGATGAGTAAATATTATACTGCCATGGAAAAGAGGCTCTAATGAGGAGTGGAAAGAATAGAGGGGACTTATTTAGAAAACCTTCGTGACCCTAGGAAGGCCGGTCAAGAGCAAAGTGCCCACATCGTCAGTACCATTTTGAAGCTGAAGATTTTATCCAAAACAGCTTACCACGCGTGATAGTGTCGTTAGAATGAAACCGAATTATCTACACTCATTTATCGGGATCAAGGGACGATTCTCCATCAACCGAACCAATTTGTTTTCCTTGGGCTCCATTGACTTCCAACTACACCTTTAACTATTCTTTTGGATTGAATCTCTGTTCACCACTTATTTGGGGACTATGTTTTTTAGCAGGGCGAATTCGCTCACAGGATGGCGAATTAGGTTTTTAATTCATACATGCACTGTAAGAATGCATAAAGGATCATCAAAGATTTGGGTGTACGTACCCTCGAAGGTGATATGTCGTGTTCCAATACCAGCCGAATTGCGTTTTCCCACCCAGGAGCCCTGTGACTGTGACTACTGTATTTGTCGTACTCGTCCGCAGGTTCTGGAGAGCTCACGTAATCATTCAGTGAGGTTCCATCACCCACTCGTTGGGTCTGTCACTTCAGATTGCAAGGTCTTATTGTCAGTCTTTGATTTGAGGATTCACAAGGGTATCACTTTCATCGAAGAAAAAATCGACGAAAATCACTGGTTATTTCTATTTCAGCTTTGCATTCCTCGTACTTTTTGCGACAGTTCCTATGACATGAAAGTTCGTCGTTCGCTGGTGCTTCACGCTTGTGCGTTGGATAACTCCAACCATCTCACCTTACGGCACCGTGCAACTAACTGTGTTTACGCACTTTCATTATCCTTACTCAGGACTTGTCATTACCAAAGTCAGCTTTTGGTTATAGCAAGATTCACGTGGTCCAGTCCAGATGATGTGAGAATCAGGAAAGTCAGTGTGTAAAGTTTCTGTAGATTTAAAAGGATTAAGTTAATATGGAAAAGCACCATTCGCGAAGATGATGTTTACGTAGAGTGCTGAAGGCCATAAGCTCAGTTCAACAAAGGAGTTAAATACCCGAGTTTCGTTCGCAATAATGCCGCGGAAGGGAAGGGATTACAGGTTTCATAGTCGATAGTGCACCTTGTTGCTCCTAGCACGGTATAACCTTAAACGGAAATGTGTCGATGAGAAAACGCACAGTAAGCTTTGGAATGCGTCATCCCCCTTTGTATACGTGCCATCGGTTCAGATCCTTTTTTGCGGAACATTGGAGGTTGGTTCTTCCGACTAATCCTGCAGCATAGGAAAGCCGGCACCGGATTTCTCGACCATGATCAAGGTTTTTTGAACTATATATGTATATACATACATATATATACGTATATATACGTATATGCGTATATATACGTATGTATGTAAACATGCTCTCTCTCTCTCTCTCAGAAGGCCAAGCATTTTACTTATGAATTTTAATTGGTTGTGAAAGTTCACATCTAGGGGGCACATGACTTTGAAAGTGACCTCCGAGGCGCTCTGTCTAAATTCTACTTTTATCTATGGGCCGCGGAGTGTGATTTTATCACAAGTTGATTGAGTTTAAATTCGCACGGAAAAGGAGCACAGACTGCGAGTTGCAACGCACCTTGCACAGCTACAAAGCAATGTGAGTATACTCAGTCAAGAATATCGACCAGACTTGACTTAAGCCCATCAATGGAGACCAGAGAAAGCATAACGTGATTATTATGCACTTTTGAGCATGAAATAGTGGCCTTAGGCTAGCAACTCATTAAACCTGAAACATTTTGCTTTCAGTAGTGATTTACACTGCTTCGTAACGGAAAACATGATAGTATTAAGTGGATGGCCATTCTCAAAGACATGCCTTGTAGTCAGCGGCGGTGAAATTCAGTCAGTTCTCTTGTTTATCGGTCAGTGAGCTAGGCGCTTTCGGTCATCATCATCGACAGCATGACATCAGTGTTCAACACCGATGCTTCACTGCCGTACAACCATGACTTATTTGAAAGCCTTATTGTA